GCGTGCTAGAATATCGTGACAGTGATGTCACATTATTATTCGTGCGTTCGGCAGATTTCGCATATTTTAGATAATGCCGCGAACGAAACGACGCATCTCGAAGACGCGTTATGAGACGTTGAATAATCTAGATATTATTCCCGCGGACTTGGCGCCACTGTTGTACCTTATTCTCTCATTACAATGATAAGCGTATCCGATCAGAGATTTGAAATTGCGTCGCGCAATATGCAGGATGCTCATAAACTCTGAATTCCTTACACTTTTCATTCTGGAAGCAAACTTTCCTTTAACTTTTAATGCTTGTTGCGTATTATGATAAACATGCTTCTTTATGTGTAACATGTAAGCCGTACACATTTCGAGAACAGCTGATATCGTTGTTTGATTTTACAGATACAATTTTTATGCTCGTTTGTAAGATATGAGTATAAAAGAATTTACAAAAAATAAAAGAGTTTGATTGCGAATGTTTTAAGTGGAATGACAGGAATGACAGGAGTTAACTAATAATGCGCGCAATGGCACTGTTCGCGGTTTCTCACAGCGATACGAACGACGTCGAGCGTGTTTTTGATCTCGAGATCAGCGGGCGGCGAGGTTTGTCGAGAAAGAGCGAGCAAGACGCTAGGGAGAGGAGCACAGACAGAAAAACGCCGTCGCACGTGGCGACGCCTTCGACGTCGTCGTCGTCGTCGTCGTCGTCGTCGTCGTCGTCGTCGTCGTCGTCGTCGTCGTCGTGCCGTATGTCGACGGATGACGGTGGAGGCAGGAGGCGTGGTACATCCGGGCGACCTTGACCCCGTCTCAACTCCGCCGCTCGTTCTTCACCGGAGACCGACGGTCGATATGCCCAGCATACCGGGGCGGCGGCGGCGGCGGCGGCGGCGTCGTCGTCGTCGCGTCGTCGTCGCGTCGTCGTCGTCGTCGTCGACGTCGTCATCGCGCCGCGACGCCAGCGCCAGCAACAATCGTCGTCGACGTCGACATCGTCGTCGTCGTGGTTCCGCTCGATCAGGACGAAGGACCACCGGGGTGTGTAGAGTGTTCGTGAGCGTCGGCGGTATCGATTTCTCGGGACGGTAGTAGCGGGGCCATCACGTTTCGTAACAAAGTTCCGAAAAGGTCGTAACTGCGACCGTGACGACGCGCTGCTCGGCAGCGTAGGCGAGGCTTTCGGGGAGTCACGCGGCGAGGCTGGCGAACGCCATCATGGCAGCGCGGGGGAAGGCCAGTCGGGGGTTGTGTGCGCAGCTGACGAGCGAGAGAGAGAAGGTCGTAGTGGTTGATGCAAATGCGGGCTCATATGATGGACCCCTCTCGGCCATTGGAAATATGATTTTAAGCCTCTGTGTACGTTTCGAGTCATGCGTCACTTTTATTGTAGCTCCAAAATCGCAATATCAAGGTCCATCTTGGGATGAGATTTGTATCTTATTTTCATAATTGCTGATTTGTCATTGCTGCTTTATTTAACATCTCGTGAGAAGCTGGTAATAATTTTTTTTTTTTTAATTTGCGAAATACACAGAGTATGTCGTACGCAATTTAATTTGGATCGATAATAAAAAGATTACTCCGAGGCTTGATGTTTGAATCAAAGGTCACGTTTAAATTGTTGGCTTGTGAAAATAATTCGATAAACCCGTTTAGCGTTAACAAAGTGTCGGCCTTCTCTCAATTAACCCTAGATGAGTAAGGTGTGATGCAATCGCATTTCATCATATTTTTTATCTTAGACATTCTTCAAAGTAGCTGGTATTCATTTGGTTCATTTGAGAAAATTGTAAGAAAGAGCGTTGCCACGAAAAAAAAAAAAAAAGAAAAGAGGAACTAACATCTAAGCGGGAAAATCTCCATGATACCTAGCATAGAATCGCGTGCGGGAAAAGACAAAGCTCGTGGTGTTATTCTAGGAGAGACGGGCGGCTTAGGCGGCGAACGATGTGCGGTGCGCGATTTGCGGGGCCGCGAATGTGCGCGGAGGCCGGAAGGTCATTCTCGCGGCATCTGCGTGTGAATCCGGCTTGATACGGCGATGGCGGCAGCGGCCGCACGGTTGTGGCAGCGCCGCCCAGCAGCGCAACATCCAGCCAGTCACCTACTTTCGAGCGCGCGGTTGACGTATACAAGGTGTCCGTGAAAAGGTGTAAAAAGAATTGATAGCAATAGCGATTCCGCAGTTGGCTTTTGTCTACATTTTTCTACAAATTTCACGAAAAATTTTTTTTTATTTTATAATATTTGTTCAATGGATTTATACAATATATCTCTTATAATTAGATTTTTAATTTGATATTTGAACCATTTTTTGAATGTTGCTTGAAAATAAAGTTTTAAAAAGATTCAGATGCATGACAAGACAAATTAAGTTTGTAATATTTTACTCAGGCTAACGTTAACCTTTTTTATATTTTTCAATAGAATTTTTTCGGGCAATAAAAGAATGGAAAGGAATTATTCAAAATTCATCTTAAAGTCAAACAACAAAAAGTGTTTTCTATCAAACTCTTATTTTTCGAGAATAATAGCGCGAATATAGCACATTTTAAATCGTTGGAATAGAATTATTAGATAAATGATATATTAATTAAAGGTAGAAACGTGCTGAAAATTGCCGTGTCAAAATAATTGTAACTAGCGATCGTGGAAGACGTCTCACACCGGATGGAGTGAAATTTCATCAAGAGCTAATGGCGGCGGCAAGAAGAGACGCGTCTCCCCGCCTTCGTCTCGGTGTTCGCTCGTCTGCGTCCATCTGTATTCGCGCGCGTTTGTATCTTGCCTCGATTTTGGGGCAGGTCAAGCTGGTTGGTTTCTCTCTCTCTCCCTCCCTCCATCCCCCCTCCTCTCTCTCTTTCTCTCTCTCTCCTCTCGCGCACGGCCAGCCAGCCGATCGTACACGCGGCATTTGCGCGGTCAACCGTTGACAGTCATCGCGTTTTCTTCTTTCTATAACGAAAGAAATGCAAGAAATAAAACGAGGAATAAAATATAATTTTGAGACTTGCAGAAAAAGAGCAGTTTAAAGTTACAAAAACGGTCACCCCCGTATTGTAATTCGTTTTTTGAGGATCGAGGTGCGACAAAATGTAAAAATAAGGTTTGAATGAAATGCAACATTATCAATACACGATGATAATACGAGACCATTTGTGAATGTTGCAAAAAAAGCGGTCGAGACGAAATGTAAGCGTTCCCCTCGACGGGTGTCTGAATAGGAAACCCTTTTTTCTTTTTGATGCTGCAACGTGAGTCTGTCGCGGATGCTCTAAACCAGACGGCAATGTCGGGAACGTCAACATCACAGTGCAGCACAATGAGTCTTACATATATTCAACGTGCATTGAGCTTAAGTGGCCAATTCTGCTTCTCACCCCGCGAGAGATGTGCGCACTTGGGGTTTAACGTACCGGTTTGGACTAAACCGAGATGAGCAAACCAGCCCCTTGAAAGCGTAATCCTTTAACCGCCGTCTTGTTCGCAGTACAAGTATGCGTCGAGCGTATTTCATAATTGCTGTTTGGTTGTTATCTTTAATGATTTTTATCTTTAAAGTTTCTAATTAAGACCACATTTACTTGATTCTTCGAAGACATATCATTTGAAATTACGAATGCAAATTACAAGAAATTTAATTTCCAAGTTTTTTTATTTGCATTTTTGTAAATTTCTTTTAAACACTTGTATTTCTTTTTTGTTGTATACCGAATAAGGTGTGAAATGTGAAGCGTTGGAGAATTTTTGAAGTAGCATAAATTAATGTATAATTAATGTTTTTGAAAAACTGTAGATACATCACATTTTCTCGAAGCTTAGAAATCTATTAAAATTTTACACTTAGCATCGATATGGAAAGTTAATAAATCCCGTATGAGCGTGCGATATGAAAAGCGGGCAGAAATCTCATTTTCAAACGGGGTTTAAGTCATAATTGTAAGCAGCTCCAGAATGGTCTTTTAAGCCATGCTGCAAGCAGGAAAGATTAAATTAGATTAGATATAAATATTTTAACTCATCCATATTGATATAACAAATATCAATATTGCTCAAGTATTAATGCTTACTGACTGATAGATGTTCTCTTACATCTTTCACTCGACGAGCTTTCTGTTCTAGTTGTAAAATTGAAATATTAAAATAGTTCAGGCTGAAATTTTTAACGAGTTTCAAAATATGGGAAAAATATTGCAAAATTATCTTAATTAGCTAATACTTTGTTTTTGCTTATATCAGATATAATTCATAATATAATATTTGCATGTATTGTTTGTCTGAATCTTTGCTCGTGTATTTTTACTCGAGTTCACTCGAGTGAATTGTCGCGGTTTTCTTGTGACACGTACATGCAAAACTCATTTTTGCGTATGGTAACATTGAGATTTGAATTTAATTGAAAGTGTAGCTGGTCTCGATATCCGCTTTCGTGCTATCATAAAATGTTGCATTACGAGATGATGTTAAAGTGTCATCAAATGTAAATCGTAATGTACGATCGAAAACTTCTCGACGCATATGAAAAGAATATTTGTTGACACGATTGATAACGCCTGGCTTCATAGTAGCACTGCTGATTGAGGAAAGCTCTCTGTGGAGGAGTTTTCGTCTCGCGGACGACTGAGCGCGCAGTCGTCGATTGTTTGATTATCGAAAACTCGCTGTTCTCGAAAGCTCTCCCCATCGTCCATCGTCTGGACGCAGCTGATTCGAGTGAATCCCGTCAGATGGCCTTGCTTAGCTAAATAACGACTGTTGAAGAGATGATACGGCCGCAATATAGGGATAATACATTTGTTAATAAATTGACATTTTATTTATTATTAGTGAGATTATATAAAAATAAAATAAAATTTCGGAATTGCCAATAAATAAAACAAAAGCTTATGCTGCATTTAAATTGAAGTTCACAAATTGCCAACAAAAATGACAATTAATTATAATAAATTTTCAATAGATAGTTTGTGCATTGCACAATTCATTGTATTTTGTATTTCGAATTTTTAAACGAAATAGTTTCTTCAAAAGAAATTTATTACTTCCATGTCCTTCTCTTCTGTCCGGCGAAGCGTGATGAATGTATCTGTTCCTTCTTTTCGACGAGAAAGAGGAAATTAAGCTTAAAAAAAGTTGTCGTCAAGAGATCGAAAGTTGCGGTCGATTTATGTAACTGGAAAAAAAAGGTGAGAGTGATGTCTCTGTGACGTGCGTCACCTCATTCTTGTGCTAAATTGCAATAGCAACCAACATACCATGGCGTCAGCAAAGTTTCGGGTCTCAATAACTTGTACACAGATTGTGCTAACTGGTTTTTAGATATATCACACGTGTGCAAACACATTATCTCTGTCTTGTTTTTTTTCCTAATTAAAATACAATATATATTTATTCCAAAACATTCGACTGAAAAATTATAATCGAAGATGAAAATAAATTACACAGCAATCAAATAAGAAATTAAATAATAGAAATAAAATTTTAAATGTTTTCTCACAAAAGATATTCAAATTAGAGTAATTGGAGCGCGTTAGGTATTTTCTACTTTTCAACGCTTGTATTTTCACCGCGTGAAATTTGCTCTCACACATTTCCGGATCTTTCTGCGTAAGAAAATTTCGAGAAATAAGAACAAAAAAAATCTCTTCCGCGAGATTTACGTGATGCGCGGTTACTATACTTACTCAGGTGTGTCTCGCCGCTTCTGTTTTTTTGCGCAGCGCAAACGTGAGCGCACGGCTTGCGCAGCTGCGTGCGGAGCACTACACGTTTGTTGCCCGTGAACGAATGCCGAGTGCGGAATTACGTGTCACTTAGAGCGTGGAGGTCACCGGCTACGTCGTCGCGCGAGTCTCGCGCGCGGATCCGCCGCGCGGACGAGAAAAAGCCGCCGGCCGGCCTCGCTTTTTCGGCCTCGCGTTTTACCCGCCATGCGCGCGATTTATGGCACCTCACCGTAACAATGTGCACTGATCGTACGTCGCCCATGACCAGATCGAATCGCGCACCACGATCGATCGATCTCCCGCGAAGTCTCTCTTTGTATCTCAGGCGAAACGGCGAGCTTAGAACTCATGCGATCATAAGATAGGAAAAAATTCGTGCAAAATGTTTCATCTGTTGTAGCAATTGATTGAATTAAACTAGATCAAAATGAGCAAAAACGAGCAAAAAGTGAATTCAATATAGGGGAAATGCAATGTTATTCTGATAATGGTATAATTTTATTTTTATAATATTAGAGAGGTGAAGAAAAATAAGTGTATTTTATTTAGATACTTCTTACTTTGCTAAAAAAAACTTTTTAGAATAAACAGTAAATAATATCTTGAAGATTTATGATCGAGATACTTGTCGAGTCTGAACAGCGTTAAGTCTTACGAGAAGTTCCACGCGGCATGTCTTTGGCTTAGAATGTCTGTTATCAGAACGATAATCCTTGATAATCCGTCCCAGTTGCAGGTGTTAAGCTATTGACTTTAGCATTGATTCTTATACGTTTATAAAAAGAGAGTCAGCATATTTTCATGCTCGCGTCTTGCAACACGCTCGAAATAGAATACCACAAATGCGCAATTATTGTTTCCGTTTGCCTCATCACTCCATCGTCATTTCTCTTAATTACTTTCTGATCCAACTTTTTGTTCGTTATTATTATCGTGCAACAATTTTGTATCTGAGAAGCATAACAAGTCTGAAAATCTTGTTTTTTTTTTTCGAGAAAAATAACAAAAATTTAGATGAATTAAACACATTGATAGTATAAAAGAGAGAAAAAAGTTTTATAATATACAAATAATTCATGTGAAATCTTGTAATGATTTTTTTATCACAACGCGAACTTAATTAAGTAACTTAAGTTTACTACATTATTGTTAAAAAGCAGAATATTTTTCTGTAACTTAGAACTTGTTGCATTAATTATAACGATATAAATGTACAGCAACTGATAATTCTGTTTCCCCTCTCACATAGATTGCAATGTAACGGTGCGAGTACTCTAAGCAGAAATCTCGTAATGTAAAGTAGTACTTGAAGTGCGAAGTTCAGTTAGTCGAGAAGCATACACGGGAAAAATGCGCGCTCGAGAGATGTGCTGTCGCGACGCTTATCAAATTTAATCTACTGTTGCTGCCACTTAGAACGGTGCTCAAATGGCTTTCATTTGCAGAAAATAATTCTCACCTCCGCGGAATTAAAGAAAAAGAGAGAAGTATTTTTTCAAAACTTTCGAGCACTATTAAACGCATTACGGGGAAATTCAGAATACTTTCAAAGAACCTGTTGGGTATTGATAATTATATAGTAGATTCTATTAACGCGCCAAATTCATTTTTTTAACGAAACTACTATCACCATTAATGCTAATTATTAATTACATCTACAATTGATTCTGAAGCACCGACAAGGAATAATTAATAATTAACGTTAATGATGGACGATTGATGTTTCACCAACACATTAATTTCGCGCGTTAATTTGTGCACTCGTTATTCATAATTAATAAGTAGTACTAGTCAGTTTCTAAGTAGACTCGTCCGGAGAGCATGTTTAAAAATGCGATCGCGATACAATTTACCGTATCGCCCGCGGAAAGATCTCACATGGGAACGTTAATGTACGCCTAGCATTCACGTTCATTAGCGCGCGACATACGATTAAGCGGCGTTCACAATGGGGCGGCGTGTTTTTTCACATTCTTACAACTCAACGGCTAGATTCTAAAATGTATGTAAATATTTCTTTTTCTGAGAGTTTAGATAACTAATACAGTATTATTATTGATATTTCTTATATTATTTTACTATTTTAACTTTACTGTAATTTATATATAACAAAAAATTTTTTTACGTAAACAAATTATATTATAAATAACATTATAACTGTCCGGGGCGTTGAGACATTCCAATTAAAACGACAGTCCCTTAAGTCCTACCTTCTCGTCCGACCTTGCGCATACGTAACAGACATCACTACCATCGGGATATCCTGCCAACTTAGGATTCCATCTAATTATCGCGGCCTTAATCTACCATTCTGCTTGTTCATTGAAAGCGAGTCCCACGACGAGGACTTGCCTAACTAACAGAGGTCGTAGACGCGTGCACTGGGCCTTACCGGGAGAGAAGAGGGACGTCTGTTCCGCGCTAACCATGAGGGTTAGCGCTAACCCGGCACCCGGCGACGGAAGTAAT